GATCTTTTTAAAATTCAAAATTCGGTTTTAGTTCTCTCTCGCTCCTCTAAATCTCATCATCGTTTGATCACTGTAGTGAAATTGAAGAGCAGGCGCGTCTTCGTCTACGGGTTTGGATCCTACGATGAAGATGAATATCAACAAAGCTTGCGATCTGAAATCGATTTCTGTGTTTCCTCCTAATCTAAGGTACGATTTCGCTTCTATCTCTTATCTCTTTCACGAGAATATTAACTCAAGTAACGTTTAGAGAACTCGATTTGAGAATACTCAGCGATTCCCATCGTCTAGGGTTTTTTTGGGATTCTTCCGCTCTTTTTCCGGCATCGGATTTGTTTACTTTGTAACTGGAGACGAGTTAATTTCAGTGATCTGTATGTGGAAATGTTAAGAATTAGTTCATCAATTTCTGAGAGGATCCATTAGGTTTCGGAGAAGATTTTGGGGGCAATTGCGTTTTAATCGGGCGTAGCATCCGAAGAGGCTAAATTGCGTTCTCTCGTTTTGCGTGATTGGGTACTGATTTTCGCGTTTACGTTTCTGTGATGATTCTCAATTTAGAAGGAGATCGAGTGTTGAACCACAAGCATCGCAGCTTCGATCACAACAGTCGCAGCAGTCGTTCTCGCAGGGACCTTCGTCGCAGCGTGGATGTTTTTCTCAGATGACTCAGAGTTCAATCGATGAACTCCTGATAAATGATCAGGTTCACGTCTTAATCTAAACTTTAACCATGGGATTTGGTTGCTCTTATGTGTACTGGCTTGATTTCATACTTGTGCTGCTTTTTCCCCTTTTGCACAGAGATTTGGTTCTCAAGAACGAGATCTCTCTTTGAAGAAGAATAGTTTCTTGCCCCCGATCAATCATAAACGAGACGATAGCCAGATGCCTGCGTCTAGGTCTTCGAGTGGTGGTCTTACGAGAAGATGGAGTTCTGTTTCAGCTGGAGAATCGAAATGTAAGTTTGTTATTTCCAAATTCAGAAATTAGAGTGGGAATACACTCCATTTTTTTTTGTCTCAGGGTGGTTTCTAATAGATGGATTCAACTTTTCTTCATTTGTCACGAGTAGCTCAGATCAGTGAAGAACTTGAGCAACGGTTTGGGATGATGGAAACTTCTTTGAGCAGGTTTGGGATGATGTTAGATTCAATTCAGAGTGACATCATGCAAGCCAACAGAGGAACTAAAGAAGTATTTCTTGAAAGTGAGTTCTATGATTGTTTGATTTTAAGTACACCAGACACACAAGGTCGGCACAAATAATTGAAATTGTCTCATTCGCTATGTTCTCAAAGTATGTACCAACGACATAGGATAGCAATAGATCAGGGGCTTAGGAATGAGTATTCCCTTGGATGTTCATTTGCTTGACCAAACATAATTTCTTAGCAGGAATGTTAAAAGCTAATCTTACTCTTTTAAGAATGTGATATTGGCAAGAGTAATTAACTGATTGGCATTGTTTGCTCCAATAGATTTATCAATATGTTGAAGAGCATTCCACTTGCGTGTTGATCGTATCTTGAAGAATGACTCTTAATTCCTCTATAGCTCATGTGAGGTCTCAGTAGATACGTAGCTGACTTTATAGTTTCATGTGTTTACTGCAGCTGAACGGATACACCAAAAGTTAACTCTCCAAGACACTTCACTTCAGCAGCTGGTAAAAGCAAATATATGAATTTTTTTCTTGTTGCTATATGGACCTTATGAAAATAGACTAAGTTTATTGAAATGGTTTATTGGGAAGCAGATAAAGGAACAAGCAGATGTTAAAGCTAGTCTTGATGGAGCTGTTAAATCTATTTTGGAGGAACTAAGCAAAGATCCCAATGAGGAGAAGCTACAGAAAATGTTTCTGATGCTAACAGCTATCCCAGAGCAAGTAGAAGCCGCTCTGCAGAAAATACAAAAGGAAATATGTCACACGTTCACCAGAGAAATTCAGGTATGACATGAGAGTTATGTAGAAAAGTTTCAAGTATTTTGTCCATCTAAGCAGAGTATATATAAGATTAATGTCATATTGAGTTGTGGTCATTCTTTAGATTTGTAAGTACATGTAGTGCTTTCATTCTCATTACCATTCTCTTATAGGTCTTGGCTAGCTTGAAGATGCCTGAGCCAAGGGTTCAGGTTCCAACAGCACCACAAGTGAAGGTCTTTTTTCTCCTGCTTTCCATGTCTTTGCTCTTTAAGCTACAAAATTTCAGGAAATAATGTGGCTTTTGCTAAACAACAGGCTAAGGAAAACCTGCCTGAGCAGCGCGGTCCAGCAGCCAAGGTAACTCTATATTCTCGACTTATGAGAATTAACACAACTGTAGTCCTTTAATTCTCACTGCCAAATCTCTTCTAGGTTTTGGATAACTTAAAGATGCCTGAGCCAAGAGTTCAGGTCCCAACAGCACGACAAGTGAAGGTCTTATTCTCCTGGTTTCAATGTAATAACTCTTTAAGCCGCAAATTTCAGCAATTAATGTGGCTTTTGTAAAACAACAGGCTAAGGAAAACTTGCCTGAGCAGCGTGATCCAGCAGCCAAGGTAAGTAACTCTATTGCAATGATAGTCTCCTCTCTTTGAGAATTTCATTTTGCATACAAGCTCAGTTGTCACTAACACATGATCAGTTGCAGAGCAATGCCTATTGTAACTCTACACTGAAAACGAAAGAACCACAGCTTCCTAGAAAGTAGGTCAAACATTCTTTGCTATACTTTTACGCTTTTTTATACCCAAAAAATTACTACAGATAGATTATATAAATGCGTATCTTGCATTTACATATAACAGATCAGCCAGAACTGTGAAAACATATTTATCCCCAAATATACAAGTGGGAAGTTGGAAGACGGTGAAACCAGACCAGAGAAATGTCAAGAAAAGAGCAGCAAAAAATCAAGTAAAATCCGAAGGCACCCGTTTGCAGGTGACTGGGTCGGATTTTCTCATTGGTTAGCTATAATGAATAAGAAGAACACATGTTTAACTTCCTCAATATCTTAAGCAGTGTGCAATTCAATTCATGCAGTTTGAACAAAGCAGTATTGTCATAGACTCAGATGAAGATATAGATGGAGGCCTTTCATGCTTGCTCGATGGTAACACCAAAGGTATGAAAATCTCTAAACTTGATTCTCTCAAAACAATGAAGAACTCAAAGTGATCTATCGATAATAATGATAAAATTCCATTTTGTGCTATGCAGAAGTAAGAAGATGTTAATATTTTCTTTTAAACTACATTCTGTGTTTTGAATTTATGTATTGTTACTTCAGGAGCTAACTTCGAATGGGACGCAGAGAAGGAAACTGAAAAGCTTCTGAGATTAGCGAGGAGGACAAAGAGGAAGTTCGGTAACCCCATTATAATTAACTGACATCAAGGTAAGTAAAAATATGCTCCATTGTTTAACATTTCTATCTAAAGCATGTTCGAGATGAGTTTAATTGGATAGATTATCACAAATGTGAATTATCTAAACTTTTAGTGAATTTTCATTATAACATACATTTCTTAATTATGGTATTATTTTATAAAATTTAGTGAATTTTTTGTAGTACTTAAATTCTAAAGTGATGACATGGAGACATATGGTTGGATCGTATTTAAAAATATGTTCTTATAATTAATTGGGAAAATTTGGAAATGAAAGGTATATTTTTTGGAGTTTGTCCATATATACTTTTTGTTTAATTACCCCTAATTTTCAGAATTAGAAAACTGTTTTTTTTTATAATTTAAATCCTATGTATAAATATTCTCTGAAAAAGAAAAAAAAAATCAACAAAAAGTTTTAAGAGCCAAATATGGTGTTTTCTAATTAAAACAGAGATGATATAAAATCGAATATTACTAGATTAGGTGTTGTCATTTATAATCCGAAATTAACCCATCGCTACCTAAACTAAACTAGATTCTTATTCCCAATTTTACATTATCTTTTATCACTCTAAATACAAAGAATCAAATCTTACATTAGTAGATTAATTTAACTGCCAAAAGCTTTGAGTTATCTTGCTTTTTGAACAGATTTACTTCCTTTAGATTTGTAAAAGCAAATATTAAATGTGTAAAAGCAATGTTATATAACATAGATGGTATATAGATTTGGGACATTTCACCAGTGGAGAAATTACATTTCCTTTCTTTCTTAGTAAAGTCTCATCGTCAAAAACTTTTGGCTTTGTTTCCAAAAGATCCGAGATTGTTAAGTATACAACCATATGAGTATTGCATATCGGAATCCCTTCTTCAGTTCGTATATCTAAAATGTCAATCGAAAATCATACCGAAGAAAAACATTGCTCGAACACACAAAAGAGATCAAATAGGCTGGATATATGGTTTTTCAGAAGGAAGAAGAGATCACCACAAGTTGTCAATACTGAAGATTCGCGTTTGATGAGAAGAAACAAACCGAAGAATTTGCATTTGTTTCTCTCTGAGATCATGAGGAAGCTTAAACACTCATTTAAAAAGGGGAAACCTCAACATGGCAAGAGATTATTCGGGAAGACGAGAAGAAAATTACAGAGGAGTGTATCAACTAAAGAACATTTCTTTCTCGAGCGGATGACTTCAATATCTCAGAAGAGAACTCATCAAGAACACTATGACAAAGAGAAACATCTCACTGAGATGTTAAACAATGGAGATTTTGATCAAAACTTGGCGACGAGCAAACAGATTCAAACAAGGATTGTCTCGCTTCCCGAGTATTTGTCTCCTTTTAGCAGCCCGGGAAGAATATGGAACCAGAATTCAACTGTGCTTTTGAGATCTGCTTCAGATGAGATATCAAAAGTTGAAGCTTATGATGAAGTCTTGAAAAAGGCGAGTTCATTTTTTGATTCACCACTTAAAATTTGGTGTTCTATGCAAATTTTGATATTTAGAAACAGAGAACAATTATTTGGTTGTTTTGTTTTTCTTTTATTAACAGAACTCCCATGAAGAGAGCCTACCACAACTATCTCTTCTCTCTGTGGCCTCACCATCTCACTCTATATCGAAAACCGACAGATATAAATCACTTCTCGAGCCGCTATTCATTGAATATGAAATCAGTCCAGCAAGAGGTATGAAAAAGAAAGATCCAATACTTACTCTTCACTTATGAACTAACACTGACTCATCTTTAACAAATATCAGGTGAAGCAAAGAGACAACCTTTGTGTAACCAACTGGAAGGAAAAATTCATCATACGGACGAAAAACAATCAGTGTTTAAGTACGTAAAAGCGGTGTTGGATGCAGTAGACTCAAACTGGGAAGAGCTGTATTTGAAAACAGAATTCAGTGACCAGCTTCTTAAGCCGGCGTTGATCAGCAACATACCATTCTATCCAAACCAGATCTGTAATGACCATGAGCTCCTCTTTGACTGCATCAATGAAGTTCTCTTTGAGTTCTGCAGGTTTCCTCAATGGGTTTCTTTTGTTAAACCAAGAACGCAAGTCTTCTCATTTAGTGTTGAAAGCATCATTCACAAGGTTCAAAAAGAGGTTTATTGTCGTCTCTTACCATCGCGGCTCGCTCACTCGGTGGACCAAATAGTTAAGGAAGACATGAGTAAACCCAGAAACTGGTTAGACATTAGATGTGACCTTGAGTGCATTGGCTTTGAGACTAGTGAATTGATTCTAAATGAATTATTGGAAGAACTTATGCTTGACTTGTGTAGAGAAGGTGATCATCCTCTATAACAATAACTATTTAGAAATCAGACATATTATATTGTTTTGTCTTTGAAGGTGTTTGTGTGAGAAAAAAGAGGATATAGATGTGTGCATTGTGTTGGGATTTTTCTTGGATTTGATGTAATTTACAAGGGAGAAACAGAAGAACAAGGAGAGAATTTTACAAAAGTAATTAACTAATTAAACTTCTTCTTCTCCTCTCATTGTTTTGTCTACATAAAGAACATCATCAATCCAAGCAACTATGTTAAAAGCTAGACCTTCAAGAACTCTTGAATAACTCTCTAACACAGCTTTCCCAACATCCTGCAAATCAAAAAGCAACAAAAAAAAATGATCAAAAACCCAAAAAGTGTTCTCATCCAAAAAAAAGAGAACATGATTCATGTCAATGTTTGTTTCTTACCTTGTTGTAATGGATCTTGCATATGTCTAATGATGTCTGAGACAATTCCGGGTAACGTTGTTTCAAACAGAAGAGCAAAGACTCTGCTCTCTCAGCCAAAACATAGTTCTTGTCTCTTCTCTCGCTATTTGACATAAGATCTTTCACCATATTCCATGAAGTCTTGGAATTGCTAAGACAAGCTTTGCGTCTCCATGTGTACATGGAAGCTTCAACTCTATCTGCTAACTGAAGTGCTTCATGTTCTGACACAATCTTGAGACAATCAAGAAGCTGTTCTGGTAAAAACTTCCCTGAATTCGTCATGTATCGATAAATTGAATCTCCCGTACTCGCTTTTCCGCTCTGCAAATGCAAAAACAAGAGCCATAAAGTGTAAGCAAGAGAATGAAAAACCAAACTTGTAATTTGCAATTTTTCACCTTTGGAAGAGTTGCCATGTAAGAATCAGGAATATCCATTTCGCCGAGGATGCTACTATTGATTGCCATAGCAGCTTTATGGATTTGATTAGTGCTCTCTCTTTTGCTCTTAAGTTGTTTCCTTGCTTTGTCTGATAAACCTTCTGATGGAACTAAAGGAATCGGTAGCCACCATTTCTCTTCTTTCCTCTGTACAATCACTTTCCTGAATGATCCTGTTGCCGAACGCGCTGACTTCATCGACAAGCTTCCTTCTTCTGCGTACCAAAACTCTGTCTTTTGAAAACTATCCAATGCCTCCTGCAAGAAAAAGAATGACCTTTATGAGGAATATCAATCGAGTACATCTTATCGATATCTTCATGTTTTAGAGTAACTACCATAAGCATGGAATCTAGTTTTCTGAGTGCAGGCAAATTGATGTAAATATCTGCTCTTGGTCTACTCTCCATAACCTGATTCAAAAAAAAAACAAAGAAAAGTTTTTTTTTTTTAAATTTTGATTTGAATTTTTCCAATGTAAGAAGCAAATCTTTTTTTACCTCAACAGTGGCTCCATTGCTTAGATTCTGAGACTTTGGGATAAACTCGAAAATATAGTCACATACAGAGAGAAGACAATTCATTTCTCTTTTCCACATTGTCTTCTTCTCTATCTCCAATGGCTCTAATCTTAGATTCTGTCCAAACACAGTAGCTGCAATTTTAAAGTCATTAATTACAGTTTCTCTGTATGGCATTTAATTTGAAACTCAAAAATATGTAAAGGGCTTAGTTTTTAGTTACCATAAAGATTGGTTATAGCGTTTGAGATTGTCACTGCGGTGCAAACGCCTTTGCCGCTTCCTGACATATCTTCTCCAAGCAGAAGCTTCGAGAATCTTTCTTTCATCGTCTCCAATTCTGCACAAACCCTAGATCAGTTTCAAGACTCAAAACAAGTGGATGATGTACAGAGAGAGAGAAAGAAGACAAAACCTGGTTCTGTAATTTCTTGGACTGCAAGAATGTGATCAGAGTCACTCTGTTTCATTTCTAAGACAGTGAGACAATTTGAGATCTGGGAATTGGATTCGGTTAAGACAGGCCAATCAGAAGGAGAGACCTCACTGCAGAAACTGCTGGCTTCATCTACATGGTCTGAAAAACCACCTGAGGTTTCAGAACATGTTCGATTATAAGCATAGGAATCTGTGCTCATGGTTGAGTAAACCGGAGTTTCAGATTCTGACTGATCATTTGGATCGATACAAGGAGGTGATTGATGAAAACCCAAATCGTCGTTTTCATCTTGATTTGATAAATTCTCCATCTTCTTAAAGATCTGTTTCTGAAAATTCCTCTGTTTTTGTTAATCTCTGATTGTTAGAGAAAGTAAGAAAAAACAGAGAGAAAAATGTAATGGAAGCTTGTTAGAACTTTCGTTGAGATTTATTAGAAAAACTTTAGAATACGAATCGAAATCCGAAAATTTGAACCGGGAATAATTCTGGAGTTTTGGATAGTGAAATCTCAAGGACCAGATAACAGTAAAGTACCAAAATTTATATTTAAAAACAAAATAAAAAAATTACTAAAGCAAAAGCAGAGAGACCGTTAGGCGTGCTAAAATCAAAAAGCAAAATAGAGAAAAAAAAACAGATCACACCAATATTTATCGAAAATTTCACAAGTGAGTTAAAAAATATATTTCTTTTTCAATATATCTTTTGCTTATATCGATCAGACAATGAAAGTCTGAAACTTGAAATTTTGAAAAGAAAACGTAATTAAAGAAGAAGAAAGAAAGCAACGGTCTTTATTTGATTTACCTTTAAAGCTTCTCAAGATTTTTGTCTTCAAAATTTGAATCTTTGTTATAACGTCTATGAAACCCTCTCTTTTGGACTGAAGCTTCCTGCAGAATATTCCGGCCACCGGAGAAACACTCGAACAGACAATGTGGACCGTAAGATGGAGAGAGGATGACTGATCGTATAATCGTACGGTGTGAAGTGACTTTTCCTTTAGTTTCAAACTTTCAATTAAAGTTTTGTGGTTCCAAGAGACTACTCCTTAATGCCATTTAGTTGCTAATAATAATATAATACTATATGATTTTTTTATATGAAAGTCTTAGTTTTGTAACAATATGAAATCTTTCATTTTCGTTGAAGACAACAAAAAAAAAAAAAATTTATTATTGTTATTCTCGTCATATAAAATTACATATATCTAGGTCGATTTATCTTTATGATTTTTATGATCTTATCCTTACAGAATATAAATTGTTTAAATTGTTCGATTATTTAGTTAAGAAAAGTCTTAATTAATTCCAGGTGTGAGTATTTGTTTTCACTTGTTGACCTTGTTCTTTAATTTACAGGGGAGAAAAACAAATGTATAGTCGGTGTATGAACACACCATTGAAAAAAACAAATGTATATAGTCGGAGTAATAGAATATATGAGTTTTTTTTTTGTGTCAACGGGTTAATTATAATTAAATTAGACTATTATGAATTATCACATGGTCGGAGGTTTAGCTTTGAACCCATGTAGCTTACACGATTAAATCAAAACGAATGATAAGGTCAAAATAAAGAGATGTGATTATTATATATCAAATAGATCATAATCTTATAATATAGCACATGATCATCAAATGTAAGGAGCATGAGAATGAATTTTGCATGGTTCGTGACACGGACGTGCGTACCATTATTTGAAAGCTATAAAATATCCAAAATCATGCATCGTATTTGTGCATGCAGAAATACATATATTGTTTTTTTTCGTTTTTATATGTTCAGTACTTAGCAAATACATTATACGACGACAAAAAAAAAAAAGCAAATACTTTATACAGGAGTTGGGTATTTTAGCTTGGATGATCAATTATGTAATAAGCGCATGAAAGTTAGTACAATAAGAAAAAGCCATAAGTTCCGACAACTTCTTTTAACGTTGAGGGACAACGACCATCCTTAACCATAATACTCT